GCAATACTTTTTCTGTACACATTTTACATACCAAAGAACAGAAAACAAACAAAAAACCTTTAATAGATTATAGCCTACAAGTGGAAAATCAGAAACAGATTAGTGAATTGCTCTTTTATTGAATATTCTTCTACTCATTTCAGTAAAAATCCCTAGTTAACAACCTTTAGAGAGAATATTTTTATAAATTCTCAACAGGCCTTACTACAGGTTAAATTTTTCATTGCAGGAAGAGATTAACTGAATTGAACAGTTAAGCTTCCAAGACAGTTCCAGGTTTACTAAGATTACTGTTCCAAACCATTTTCATTTGCTTTTCCAGCCATTTATCCCTAAGAAGTTAAGTAACATTAGAGAAAGAACCCCAGAAAAGTATATCTAACTCACTATTCCTCTGGAGAATTAAAATGAAAGCATACGACATACTTGTCACTAACAACAACTAGTACTGTATAAAGCCAGATGATAGACTAGTTTTTAAACTACAACTGGTCCCAGCAAGAAGCATTACAGACATCAACTAAACCAATTTTTCATTTCTAAGCAAAAAGGAAATACACATTAGACTTTAATAAATTGACATGTTATGTCCAAAGACTTACTCTACAGCAGAATTTGGACAACAAGTTGTTCATGTGTCTAAAAGGACACGTTTGCACTGGCACAAACTTGAAATAAAGGAAGAACAATCATATAGTTTTCCAGTATTTTTCTGTTTTCCCTTGCCAATTTTGCATATATTTGTATTTTGTACACTTAAGGAAGCAACAGAAAAAATCCAAATCAGCTAGAGAAAAATGTCTATTTTATTTCTAAAATGTTAGATACCAGAAAGACTGTTTAAGCAAGAAGCAGAGAAGCCCGGGATATCTGGGATGCTGAAAGAAGCCTGGCCTACCTGGTAAATTGTTTTTGCTTGGATTGATATCTCATAAACCCATAACATATAAAAGCTAATGCTAAAAAACCTTTGAATAGCTGTAAGTTGGAGCTTTCCAATACTCTAGAGAAACATTTTCTAATCTTGGAGGTTTGGAAGAAGTCAAAACTTAAAATTCCATTCTGATTATGTTTTATGCCCCACCTCCCAGCCCCCACACCCAGGTTCAGTTCTGATCTGATTGCAGTGATTACAAATCTCATTAATCAATCTCCTATGCCATATCTCTGAATACCTGAAAATCTGTTTTTAAAGTACATGAAACATTAATCTCTCTATATAGGAGTTCATGAGCAGAGTCACTGCTAAAATCAAGCAGGAATTGCCAAAGAGGTAGAAAGTAGGTTCAATAAACTGATTCTAAAGAGTGGGTATCATTGAACAAAGTATTTCCCCTTCCCCACTGTTCTTTTTGATTGAGTGAAAGTCATATGAAACTTTTCAGCAATTTCACAACACCCAAATGTTAACATTTGTACCCTGAATGTGATTCTCCCAAAGTCTGAAGCTATTTGAGTCTTAGGGTGGGTTTACAGTATAAGAATCAGATTGAGGGCAGCCAAAGAACTACTGATCAAAGCTTCATAACATTATGACTGCAAGCCTATCCTATAATGTTTTCTTTTAAATTTTAAATATGTGCTATATTGATCCTCTTACTGGCCCGCCTCACAAGGAAGATTCCCCTTTTATTTTTTCCCCCTTTGAGATTTTGCTTACCGTCTTCAAGCCTCTTCAGGAGACCCAAAAACATGTCCCAGAGTGAGACTAGAGTTCAAGAATGGAATCCCCGGAATCAAGACGCTCTGGGACAAGTTTTGTCCATTTCTATCGCATGGGATCCACATGAGCCACATCCACCTATCTATCTTACTTATTTGGACCCCATCACTGTAGTATCTGAGCATCTACACTCTTTAATGTATTTAGCCTCACATCATCTCAGTCAGGTTTTCCACATTTTGCAGATGGTGAGCCAAGGCACAGAGAAACTAAGTGACTTGCCCAGGGCCACACAGGGTGTTTGTGGTGGAGCAGGAATTGAATCTGCATCTCCCATAGCATTGATTAGCACTCTAATCACTAGAGCATCCTTTTTCTCTTCTCTCAAATGGGTTTGCTAGAGGCCCTTTCCTGAGATATTATAAGGGGACCCTTAGGAGGCCTGATATAGAGGTGACAGGACTGGGGACGGGACTAAGAGTAAAGGCCCCTTACTAAACATTCTGGCATCCATGTTGTGTTCAAAGCCTTTCATTTGTGGCCCAAGAGCACCACAATCAGGAGTGGCGGTTGCAGGTGTGAGTTCTAGACACTTCTAGCGTACTGATGTTCTGGCACTGTTCTCCTGAGAAAGGGGAGGAAGGAGGCACTTGCCTTTGGAGTGGGCTGTTACAGTCCTGCCTGGCTCCTCTTCTGTCTGGGGTAGGGGAAATTACATGCCACTGCCCACACTGGGCTTCTAGGATGGTGCCTGCATCTCATCCATCCAAGTCAATCCTGCCTGGTTTTGCTTCTGCTTAGAGAAAGACAGCCAAGGTGACCTCTGGCTTGATAGGACTGTTGAGAGGGGAAAATGTATCCTACCCCCAGAGGAGGTGAAACTCCCCACTGTGACACTCAGTAAGAAGGGATGAAGTGAAAGAATAAACCTCTCTTTTTTGGCCTAGTTTTCTCCCTAAGCAACTGAAGGGATATCAGCTGCTTCAGTATTTCACAAAAGGAAGCAGAGCTGACAACTTATAAGGCCAAGAAACCTGAGACACAGCTGACATTTAGAAGTTTAAATTATAGAACCAAATTGCTAATTCAGAATTACAGATTTTTTAAGAATTTCCTCAGAAAACCTCTTCAGTGCAAAGGTCTAGTTAACTCTGTCTGCTGCTGTTGAAGCAGAACAAAACTAGTGGGAGCTGCAGGGGGCTGAGCATTCCCTCGTTACCAGTGCCTGACAAGACTGATTCTTTACCCCCACATAAGATACAGAGGCTGAAGTACCTATCATGACAGTTATGTGGATGTTAGCACAATAAAGGATTTCTAATCCCTACGTCCAAGAGGATTTAAAATAGCCCAAAGAAGTAAGGAAGAGAAAATAGCAGATTTAGAGTTTGGGGGGGATCATCAAGTCTAGTCAACTGTAGTGAGCCATTGGAGCTCATCTTGATGTAGATAAAGAAATAACCGATGTCTGCAACACAATGCATATTAAGTGGGATGAACTCATGTGACCTGCCTGATGTTTCTGGGAGAGGGAAACAGTCAGACAAGCATTTCTTTAACATTTGTATAATTACTGAAGTTTTATATAATTAACGTTCAACTACAAAAATATCAAAAATACACTGGTAGGCACTAATCCTGCTTAAAGCTGCTCTTTAAAATCAAGTAATTCCAAAAAACTGGTGAAAATATTTGATCATAACCATAAAAACTATATCCATTAAGCAAATACATAAATAAATCAGTAAAGATTTCTTAGAAACATAGGAAGGCAAATTATTCATGATGAATCTCTATAAATCACCCATTTTATTTTTTTATATTTTGTAGCACCAATTTAATATCCTAGTCACTTCAGTGTAATCAAAGTGATAATATATGCAATAGAAATCAGATTCCACAACACCTAAAACAGATTCCAGAAGTTATGCTTACCTCTGAAGTTAGTGACTGATGACTTTTCATTATTAAATTTATAGTCAAATGTTTAGTTCTTGGAAAGCACTTCCAGGAGCAACAATCTCTAACTGCTTCTCCATGAGTCAACCATTAAATCTACACATCTCCAAGAAAACTGATACTCTATGTAAAATCTTAGGAGCACTTGAGAGGTTTAACAGGAATTTTTCTTCTTAAGTAGAAAAGTTATTTCTTACTATATCAGAGATGGGCAAACTACGGCCCGCGGGACCGTTCTGCCCGGCCACTGAACTCCTGGCCCGGGAGGCTAGCCCCCGGCCCCTCCCCTGCTGTCCCCCCTCCCCCGCAGCCTCAGCTCACTGCACCACTGGCACAAAGCTCTGGGGGGGGTGAGCTCCTGGGGCAGCACAGCTGCAGAGCCCGGTCTGACCCGGCGCTCTGTGCTGAATGGTGCGTGGCTGGCTCCAGCCAGGCGGTGCAGCTGCCTGTCATGGTGCAGCCACGCCACCAGCCGCCGGTGCTCCAGGCAGCGCAGTAAGGGGGCAGGGAGCGGGGGGAGGGAGGTTGG